ACGACTTCAAGGAATTCATCGGACTTTGTCGGATTTCATCGGACTTCGTCGGACTTTGTAGGACTTTGTCGGACTTTACTGGACTTCATCGGACTTCGAGGAATTCAACGACTTCAAGGAATTCATCGGACTTTGTCGGATTTCATCGGACTTCGTCGGACTTTGTCGGACTTTACTGGACTTTATCGGACTTCGAGGAATTCAACGACTTCAAGGAATTTATCGGACTTTGTCGGATTTCATCGGACTTTGTCGAACTTTGTCGGACTTTATCGGACTTTCTCGGACTTCGAGGAATTCAACGACTTCAAGGAATTCATCGGACTTTGTCGGATTTCATCGGACTTCGTCGGACTTTGTAGGACTTTGTCGGTCTTTACTGGACTTTATTGGACTTCGAGGAATTCAACGACTTCAAGGAATTCATCGGACTTTGTCGGATTTCATCGGACTTTGTCGGACTTTGTCGGACTTTATCGGACTTTATCGGACTTCGAGGAATTCAACGACTTCAAGGAATTCATCGGACTTTGTCGGATTTCATCGGACTTCGTCGGACTTTGTAGGACTTTGTCGGACTTTACTAGACTTCATCGGACTTCGAGGAATCAACGGACTCCTGACAGGTTGTACACCAGAATTCAAGAGTGGTTACCCCCTCGATAATAATGCTTGGTTTATTCAAAACAAAAAGCAGAGTGTTCGTTGAAGATTTACAAGCCACCCGGTGGGGTGTAACGGACCGAGAATATATACAATGTACCGCGATCGCACGGAGCGTTGGTGGGCGGACAGCCTGGACGACACGCAAAAGACTTACTGACTATCCGGTATATTTACAATGCGCGGCGGTTGAACGGAGCGTTTGTTGGCGTAAAGCCTAAACAGAGAAACTTAATGATTACCCGGTATATACAAAGTACGGAGGCGCATAGCCTATAATGGTGTCCGGAAGGGATTTACAAGTCACCCGGTATACGAAGCTGGAGGTACGGTGTACGGAGGCGTATCGCCTATGACGGAGTCCGGAAGGGACTTACAAGTCACCCGGTATGCGAAATCTGGAGATCCAACGTACTGAGGCATATAGCCTATAACGGTGTTCGGAAACCGGGAAACCCGGCGTAACAACGAGAAACCCGTTGCATGATGCTAAAGGAAGGAGCCAGTAACCGAGAAGCCCGGTCTAACAACGAGAAGCCCGTTGCCTGATTTAGGAGGTCTGGAACGGGACTGGTCTCGGCTCATCCGCCGAGCCGGCTTATATACCCGGCCGGCGGTTCCCCCGCTCCGCGTCGAGTCTACGGCAGGGGTAACGCGCCGGCGTCGTAGTGGGGCGCCCCGGGGTGGGGCGGCCCGTGTATAGCGTTTAGGGGCGCCTTAGACGCCAGAGCCTCACGTGGCGGGCGGATGGTCGGCCCGCGAGACGTTAGTAACGGCTACGCCGTTACACATGTATTGACTTAAAGACCAGAATTAGATTCCTAAAGAAATGCTTAACACAAAATATTATTCCACCACATGTAATGTATTTGTTTAAAACGAATATCCTATTTTGTAAAGATTAGAAGGACAAACTATATAGGCATACTTCCTAAGGCTTATGGCCTACCTAAAATCCATAAAAAGAACGTACCTTTTAGAATCATTGTCTCGTCCATTAATACTGCGTTATATTCCACGCTACATTTGTACACATTCATTAATTAATTTTTGTACACAATATTTTATCTAAAAGTATTCCTCAAGCTAAAAGCAACGTAAATAACAGTTTAGAATTATATAGCACACTGTCTGGTAAAAAAATAAGTACATCGGACATTTTAGTTTCTTTAGATGTGGTATCGCTTTTTACCAACATTCCAATAGATTTTGCATTTGAGAGTGTTAACAAGAGATGGGATTATATTAAAACTCACAATTCTGCAAAATGAGTTCATCTCAATTATTAAATTTATATTAATATTTACATATTTTACATTTTAATGATAACATTTACAAACAAATATATGGGACTCCCATGGGTTCTCCGCTATCCCCAATAATTGCAAATTTGGTAATACGGGATTTGGAAGAATCGATTCTTGGTACGTTGGATGTTGGTATAGCGATTTATCATCGTTATGTAGATGACATTGTTTTGGTGGCACCCAGAAATGAAATTACTAACATATTAAACAAGTTCAATAATTATCATGAGAAATTACAATTTACCATTATTAGTGGAATATGAGGTTGAGAGGAGCATCAGTTTTTTAGATTTAAACATTAAGATTATTAACAATATCATTTGTATAGATTGGTTTCATAAACAATCTTTCTCGAGCAGATTATTATCTTTTTTTTCAAATCATCCAATTTAGTATAAAATAGGTACCATATACAGTCTCACGGACAGAGTAATGCTACTTTCTCATCCTATGTTTCTTAGAAAAAATTTGGAATTTTGCATTTATACTTTGTTGAGCAATGGGTATCCCTTACATTTTAAAGAAATTAACCACAGAATAAAAACTCTATATGTATAATAAAAAACCAATGCAAACAAAAAAGAGTAATAAAAAAGATTTCCGTTTGATATGTCGAGATAGATCGTTGTTCTCTGACTGATATCACTGCTATTCTAAAGTTTGTCACTGAAAATGGTTAAATAATAACCGAAACGTTTGACAATTGATTGCTGTTATTACTTTATTACTACTTTACACTAAGATCGTGTACGTGCTCTTTGCCCATCTGTTACTCTTTAATTATTATTTACTGAGCCTAACTAGTAAAAAGCGTGTTAATAAAGAAGATGTTATATCCCTAAGAGATATAACTATTGATGCATAACTACTCATATTACATCCGCTTGACGACGGGCACTGACCGCGTAAAAACGCATACGCTGCAAGATATACGCGGAACCGAAATTGCCCACCGTGCAAGCAAAGCAGAAGGACTTTGAATTTACTTTGCTTGCACCTAACATAGGTCCTTGACCGAGGGGGCCTATTGCCAGGCACCCCTTCCGATCAAGAAAATTCCAAAAAGCGATACTATAAAAACGGAGCGGCAGTCGCTAAGTCGTTCTCAAGTCGCTCTCAAGTCGCTCTCGAGTCGTTAATTAAAGCGACTTTGCTAGTCGCGTGCGATTTATAACATCTTTTCGCAGTCGCGCGCGCGCTACATGAAGTCATAGTTAAATAGTGCCGCTAAACTGATACACGTAGCGTACGAGTGTAACATTGTTGAAATAAAGAAAAGTCAAGTGGTTAATTGGAATAAAAGTTCTTTAATAGCAACAAAGTGAAGTGCAATCATTTAATACACCCGATACAAGCTCTGACGCCTCGGATCTTCATCCCAATTTGGCGCAACCCCTTGTGTCTTACCCGAGGCACACAACAAAGAATATAAAAAAAATAATTTTTTTGTTATTTCTTATATCAATAACATTTCTAAATTAGTTGCATCCACAATAAAAAATCAGATTTTACAGTAGGTTACCGTTGTTTCAACAAATTGGAAAATTTCATTAAAGTTTATAAGGACAAAAATAAGAGTTTGTCCAAAAACAATGTCATTTACAAAATAAATTGTAAAAATTGCGATGCCTCATACGTAGGCCAAACGAGACAACAACTACAAACTAGATTAAAAGAACACTCTAATAACATAAAAGTAGATGCTTCGAAACATTTGGTTGTATCTGAACACATTGTGAATTTCCAACATGAATTTGATTGGGAAAATGTAAAAATTTTAGATATTGAGCATAATTATCATAAGAGAATTGTCTCCGAAATGATACATATTAAGGAACAGAAGCATGGAATCAATAGTAATACGGAACGACACTGAATTGTTTAACAGCGCATATTTTGACGTTTTAGAAGAGTTATCTAACATTTAATTTTAATATTTGTTTTTATTTTTGTAACTGCTTTGTACTTATCATCATGACACAGACTAACAATCACGATCGAGAATTCATAACAACAAAAAGCCTTCTCATAAGTATCTAAAAAGAAGAAGATTGTTATTTTAAAAAATTTTTTACACTTTTATTCCATCTATAATGTAACTCTAATGTTTTTTATAATAGTATGACATGAGAGCATTCCGGCCGCAATTTAACTCGGTCTTATTCAAACGTACAATTTCTTGCTTACCAACGAAAAAGGGGTTTGATATAAACGAGAATTGTTGCGGGTTGTTTTTCGTTATATTATGGAATATATGTAAAATCCATGGTTTCTTGTTGCTCACATTCGCTTTCAAACATCTTATCGTTCGCAATTATATATTTTATATTTCTCTGTAACGTATGCGTTTTTATAATAACCTAAAAATTATCGACTTTATGATTATATTATATTTATTTTGTATTACACTAAGAAAGACCAAGTATGGTCCGAAACGTGTAATTTTGTAATGTAATTTAATTTAATTTTGTTCTAAATATATTATTTTTAATTAGCTCGTCATTATGCCCTTTTATTAGATTGGATTTTAGCGTTAGTGCAACATACGAGCATATTAAGAAATATTTTTTAACTATCTTTTATTTATTTTTATTTTTATTTTTGTATTTAATGCATAGTATATCGATATAACTACGTAAGACGGATTATGAATAAAAATACATGACGCTTATAAGCACTCACGATACATTATAAACAATATTTATAAAACATGCAAGATATTACTCTGTGTTTCCGACATATATTTTAAATCGATTCTTCCAATTACAGGAGAGATTTTACAATCGTTGTTTTAATAGCGAAATTAATAGAATTGAGAAGAAATTAAGAAAGTTATTGATATTTAAAATTATAACTTCACATATGAGTATAAAAGCCATTGATTTTACGTGTAAACCTATGCATTTGTCGGATCTAAATATAGCGAATAAGGGGAATAACAATGTTAAAGATTGGACATGCTTTTATAATTTACCATTAAATGACAATGAGATACAAGTCAATGTATTACTGACTTCTTTTGAATTTCAGAAACTGTGCGCGACTGAATGCGGAATTGGAAATTGGAAGCTGAGCGGGATAATTCCAATCAACACGCGTAATGTTAACAACCACAATATATTTGAGATACTAACACAAGAAAAGTACAAATAAAGAAACGAGAATAATTAACAAAAAAGAAGATGAGTCGAGAATCTAATTACTTAGCGGTCCGCAAGCTACAAAATGTACGCGAAAAAAAGACAAGCGATTTTTCGTAGTTTCGATTCGCACTCTGTTCGCGCCGACAGACTAGACGGAAAGAGCGCCGCGGTCTTTCAAGGAGAGATTTTTATGGAGACAAAATTCGAGAACGTTCGAGAAGTTTTTTAATATTTTATAAACCGGTTAAGGACGATAAAAACATGCAGATGTAATTATTTATTAGCGCAACAGTTAATGTTTGTTATTAATACATCGATTTTTTTCTCTTCTCGCGCAACCGCGGTGTGTATTGTTTGTCTTTTAAAGCAAGATAGAGCGAGCGCTTATTTACGAAGACGCAGGGTAAACGTATATCCCTGCGGCTGAGCGCTAATTTCTTAGCGTAGAATTAGATTTTTGTATAATGATTGCATGATGCATGATAAGGGTGCATGCGGCTTATTAATGCTTTTGTTTTTCAGCAGGATTCTCGATTTGAGAGTTCGATCTCAAACATTCCGCCCGCCCACAATATTCGATATAGAGCCTAAAAAAACAAAAAGGCCAAAAAGGAAAAAGAAAAAAAACTGCGGAAGATGGTCGGCACTTCTCCACAATGATAAATTGGAACGAAATTCAAACTGGCGCACTCAATTAAGGCGCAGCGATACAGTAGTCGGTAGTCTATTTTCCCTATGGCTCACAAATTCTAGAAACGTCGATAGCGGTAATTATTACTCACAGGCGAAATTTTCCAACCCAGATGGTTTCCCCACAATCTTCAAATCAATCTCTTACGGTCTCACTTTATCACCACACGATAAATTTCCCCACTAACTAACGACTAATAAACGAAAAGAACAGAAAAAGAACAAAAAAAGCGAAAGAAAAAAAATCTTTTAAAGAGGCAAAAAAAACACATAAAATATTCACTCACAAAACGTTGATTTCGGTAGACAAATTCATAAAAAAAATTCAGGTATAATACTCTCTCTCTCTTCCTAATATTCTCTTGGCGTGACCCCACGTTGGGCGCCAAAAATTTGCAACGTCTTTTCCTGCTCCGAAACGCCAAATTCGGATAGGGGAGCATTCAATTTGAATATTTTGATCGTTAGCGTCAAAAATCGGTAACATAAGAGTTTAACTACTCGTATTTAGGTACTTTCGGTAACTCACAATAAAGTTGGGCGCCAGGCGCAGTTACATGCGCCACGGTAGCAATAAAAACGGGACCTAAGATATCCCTTCAAAATTCGGCAGTAAATTGTGGGTCTAGATTGTTCTTATTCTATGGTTGAGAGAGAGGTATACAGAAAGACTTACACAGGTTGACATGAATAGACAGATATATTTCAGACACTTAGGACTAACAATTGTACATGGAATAAATATAAATTTACAATATAATTATATGATGAACATTAAGATTTAGGTTAGAGATATGGATAAATATAATACACAGAGGCGAAGATTTCGGTACGACGGGATTGATCACCCGGATCGACTAATCGAATTTTCATTAATTATAACGATACTTAACAATCTCTAATAATCTCGCGACAGCATTACAACAACGAGATATACAAAAAAGCTCGGTAAACGGTTCGGCTGTTTAAACTTAGTATCTCGGGTACGCGATATACACAAAGGTCACATCAACACGAGTCGAGACACGGCGCGATACGAAAAAACGGTTAACAATAAGGCGACAGCAATTTCGTGACTCTCTCGCACGACTCTCTCGCCGAGTCAAAAATCGAAATAATTATCACACTCGCGAAGAACGGTTGCACGCAAATTCCGTAAATTTAATGACTGAATCATTAACAAAGAAAGTCTCATGCACGGCGACCATGACATAGAACGGTACTTGAAATATACCGACAAACAAGAATGGAAGATTCTCGCTCTCGGAACGATTGACTGTCGGCGGCACTTCTCGGAGAGGGCTCGGCTCGCGAAACTCGAAGTCGGCCCCGCGGTAACAATACTCAGAGAAAGAGACCGCTCTCTCTAGTACAAGACGACACGATAACGAGACAATACGGTACTCACGGTAATTACTCTACTTTCTCGCCACCCACGGCACCAACCAACACTCACGTACGGCTACCCGAGAGGCGGCTTACAATAAACGGCGATAAAGTCCGACGTCCTTACGTTGTATAGGCCAGGATCTGGAGGCATCCTCACACGTGTATGGCTCACTGAACAGTGAAAAGCCAGGCCTCGCGCTCCTTGGTACCTCAAGCGCCGCGTTGATCTCCCGCGCATTCCATCGATGATAGGGTCGATGGCGAGAGTCCTAGGGTCTCCTGGACTCTTCCCTTGGGGTGCGTTCAGATCTCTCACCCAGCGAGTGTGGGTAGGGTGGACTGGGAGTGGGCGGAGTTACTGTGAGGTGATTTCGGTGGAGTGAAGAATCTGAACGCACCTATGCATTCTGGAGACTGTGTAAAGGTGCCATTAACAAAGAAAACGTCCATCTACAATCACCTAACCTTAAAGATGGATCATCGAGTAATTATAGCATCAGTTGTGACTATAAGTAAAAATTTTTTACAAGAAGTAATGGAAAGTGATAGTGACAGTAGTGGCAGTGATACCTCTGATGAGGAGTTGGATATGCGAATACATATGCAATTGCGAGGACCTCAATGCAAACCTGTAAGAATTGAAGGTTATATAGAACATACAATCCCACAACTTCATCGTGAGCAGTTCAGGCAGCATTTTCGCATGACTCCAACAACGTACAATCAACTCGAACAGAGATTGGCACCAATTTCGCAAGGAGATGTTGGTATGAAATCTCACATACCAGTCAGGAAGCAATTACTTGCAACTCTATGGTTATTGGCTACACCAGATTCCTACAGGTAAGTTTCTTTTAAAGCATTTTCTAAAGAGACAGTGAAAACTATGCAACCACAGATGTAGTAGAAAATGTATAGTCATGATATGTAATTCACGACCATTGAAAGTGTGTGTGTGTGTGTGTGTGTGTGTATGCACGCGTGCGTGCGTGTGCGTGTGCATGTGTGTGTGAATCTTGTCTGTGAATAAGTGTATTTGTTTTAGGTCTGTAGGGGAAAGATTTGACATGAGCAAAAGCTCACTGAATGTCAGTTTCATGAGGGTTGTACAAGCCTTGAATGACATCGCTAGAGATGTCATACAATGGCCAAGAGAAGACAGATTAGCAACAGTAAAACAAAAATTTCAAAGGTTGTCAGTGCTACCTGACATTATTGGAGCTGTGGATGGTACTCATATTTCTATAAAAAAGCCGTATGTAAATTTCTTTTTCGTTTAAAACAACTATATCTTGATGGATTTATCCAATGTTCTGATCATGATATGATTTTATGCAAAAAATTTGTTGAGCGAGTTTAAAATTAAAATGAACATTAAAATTTATAAATATTTTGTGTATGTGCTCTAAACATTTAAAATTAATATAAAATTGTGAAGGGTTGAGTAGAGGTCACTGTGCTATTATTATTAAACAATTATATTAAACAAATAAAATATCAAATGTTTTAACCATAAATGCGATCATCAAAGAAATAAAGTAAAAAAACATTGTTTAACCGAAACGTATTATTATAACTTTTTAATAATAATAGCACGGTGACCTAACTCTGTTCATTAGCTCTGGATAATTTTATATTAATTTTAAATACATAATACCTCTAAATATTACATTTGCTGAAACTTTATTTTTTAAAGAAAGATTCTCTGTCCTATAAGACATATAAGAAAAAATATGCTGTTATACTTCAAGCTATATGTGACTCTGAGTTAGTTTTTCTGGATTGCTTTGCTGGTTACCCAGGATCTGTAGGTGATATAAGAGTATTTAGAAATTCTGATCTTTGGTCAGAAGTCCAGAGGGATAGACAATCATATTTCCCTAACGAGGAATACATCATTGGTGATAAAGCTTATCCTATTTTACGTTGGTGTATTTCTGCTTTTCGTGATCGTGGTAATCTTACAGCGGTAAATACATACTTTATATATTTAGTTGTATCTATAGAATCATATTAATTTTTCATTTGGTAAACATTTTCTTCACTTCTCTTTGCATGTCGAAACCATGAAATTATTAGGATATTTTTTCTTTTGCAGGCTCAGAAAAGATTCAACAACATACTGTCTACAGTTAGACAAGTCATTGAAAGAACATTTGCATTGCTGAAAGGAAGATTTCGAAGGCTGAAATATCTAGACATGAATAGAATGGACATGATCCCCTTTGTGATAATTGCTTGCACAGTTCTTCACAACATCTGTCTTGAAAGATTTGATGAAAACATAGAAGAATATATCTTAGAAGGTTGGGAAAATGAAAACATTGAAGAAGGCAGGGAGAATGAAGTTTGTGTTCAAGATCCAGTGGCAGATGAAGATGCTGGTTTAGCAAAAAGAAATTATCTAGTAACCTTAGTTTGATAGTTATATATTATACACTAGCGGTCATAAGTATAACACTTCTAATTATATATTTTGTTAGTAGACAAAGTTTCTTGATGAAAAATAAAATAATGAATCAAGGCATAAATACTTGTGATAGAACTGTATTTATTCATGTCATTTTACCTATACAATATACATTACAAATATTTATATATGTGGCAATAAAATATATTAGAAATATATATATATCCTCAACATAACAAGTGTTTCAGTCTTTAAGCATTTAATCACATTAAGTATCTGAGTCAATAACATGTGCAAAGAACTTAATCCCAATAATACTTTCAGGTAGCACCAATCGCAAACAATCATTTACCATATCTTGAATTACTTAAAATTAATGAATTACTGAATTACTGAAGTACTTAAAATTATATAGAGATCAATACTGTGAATTATGTACGTTTCCACTAATGTAGATTAACTTTTATCTCAGTTTAATTTACTTTTTATCTTTTTCTAATTCTTAGAACTATAAAAGTAAAAAGTTAATTAAACTAAGATTAAAGTTAATCTGCATTAGTGGAAATGGACGTTACAAAACGAAATAAGAATAGAACTAAATACTAAAATAATACTATTAAAGGTTACTACTAAATGAGAAACATGCACAACAAAGTTCTTTCTTTCAGTTTAGCAATGAGTTTTTGTTTTATGCCCGTTCTCGGTCCCTTCCCCGACCGGAAGAAGGACAAACGAAAGGGGACACGTGCTCGAGTAACGATGGGTATTTGAAGATTCCACGAGGAGACATAGCAGCTGAGGGCCGAAAAGCACGTGCCATGCATGAAAGAAGACGCAAGATTCAATGGAACGCCGGGATAAGAAATTTATTATACACAGCCTCCTACTTGGGACACTAGCGGTAGCTGTTGCAACCGTTGTCCATGGGTTACGTGGAGCTGCTTGGAAATGAACAAACGTCGTCCACCTCGAATATGCCAAATCCACAGAATGCTCGCCTAATATTTTAATTTTAATTTGAGGTGAATAATGACTACATTAATGAATATGTTAAAGCTCATGAACTGTCTTGAAATTTTGATGGAAGATATTAATATAAAAGTTATATTTAATTATTTTAATTTAATTAAATTAAGTTTATCTAATTATCTCAAAGGAATAAAAGATAATAATAGCAACTTTCAATAAAGCTTTATATTTAAAGCGCGGAAAATGTTAGAAAATTATACGGATTTCTGTAGCGCATTGTTTATTTCTATGCAACTCCACGTAAAGCAAGCAAGCACGTAATTTGTGACACTATCGGGACTCGAGCAATTAAACGTGACCTCAGAATTATACACAATATCACTGAAAGTCCGGTGTGCGTGATACGACACGCAGAATACTGTCCACAATTTATCGATTAATTTTGCAATTTTCAAGTAAAACACGACGGGACTGTTATCGTTAAGTACAATTTTTTAATCACTTAATGATTGTCATTTGAGCGAAATAAACGTCGGCGTCGCTCGTTTTATCAGCTGAAGAACAAATATTATAAATAAACGACGCTTTGCGAGAGACAACACGCATTAATAACAATATAACTTACAAGTCAGTCGACCCAGACGTCACTCATCCCTAGTTATATTTAATGCGAGGGGTCTCAGAATAGGTGTATGTTTTGCTAGTATTTACTTTAAAAAAATTAATGCTTGAATAACTTTTCTATCAGATAAATTATTTATATACAATCAAACGGTTAATAAATTATAATTTCTACCTACGTTAATTAAAAGTGGTAAATAATTATCGGGAGATACGTATGTGATATTTATTATATTATATTAAACCGTGAAAATAAATTAAAAAGAATATTTTAATATCCATGCTCATTACGCAGAAGTAAGATAAATTATTAATTAGAAAAAAGCAATTAAGAGCGTTTTCGTTGAAAAGTATCGTTTACCTTTATCCAAAATAGGAATATGTATAACGAGTGTCGTTTCTAAGCGAGCACCGAGAACTGAGCTGATAACGATAAACTTACGATAAAGACAACTATATTTAGAGCACCAATGAGTTGCTAGTAGAACAGGACGAATCAGATATGGCGTATTACCGACTAAATTTCGGGACTTCCTCCGCTTCTTCAAATTAATACACTTGTATTAATACACTGAGATAATTCTCTGACTAGCATAAGAATTGCAATACAAAATCAAGTGCTCCAATAATATAAAACTCTACAATAAAAAAAAAAAAAAAAATTAAAGAAATCAGTGTATAATGTCAAAATAGAAAGAAAAAACTACACACTACTTACAACTCTATAACTTCTTCAAGAGTTGGCTCATTACACTTTGATAAACTTCAATGGCACTATCCTGTCGTTCCATACGTTCAGTGTGCCTCTTCTGTCGGGCCTCTTCTGTTCTGTTAGACTCCTCTGTTCTTATAGTTAATAATCTTTCGATGTTTTTTTCAGTGACACTTTTTTTTTCATTTTGGATTTAGGAGTAGAACCATGCTCACTATCGGCTTCACTGCTGCTGTTTAAGCATATAGAAGCTGCACTTGAATCTTGAGTTTCTACAATAGTAGATTTACGCTTTTTTAGTGTTGAAGCTATGGATACAGGTTTCACAGCTGGCTTGTCACCAAGAGCATCATCCATCTCTTTATAAAACTTGCATGTAGCAACTGGAAGGCCACTACCCTTCTCATTCTTGTCCTTAGCTTTCACATAGTGTTTCCTGAGGTCCTTAAATTTGTCTTCACATTGCTGACCAGTATAGTCCCAGAGTGGGTTCTCTTTCTTCAACTTGCTGGCTATCATTTCCCAGACTTTCTTGTTAGTAATAGTAATGCTTTTGAAATAGCTCTCATGTCCTCTCCATTCATCAATAAGAGTTTTAACAGCATAATCATCCTTCCACGATGCTGCATCTGTGGTAAGAAATAAGAATTGGTAATGAATATAGCAGTATACAAAGAGACGAAAATATAATTAAAAAAAAAACATGCGTACTTTTCTTGCCAGAGATGTCAATAAGTGTTAGTAAATTTTTATTTTCAGAATTTGATTCTTCACCAGACAACAGTTCTGTTTCTGACACTAGAGTCTCATCTATTCATCAATAAATATTATTTTAAGATTCATCAACTAAAGTAGTCTCATATACAATATTACAAAATTAAAACAGAGATTAGTAAAACAAAGAACTTGCCTGAAGAATTCTTTTCAACACATAGATTGAAAGATGCTAGATTTTCAGGTGTTATATCAAGGTACATTGGACAATTACCTGTTGAAATAAAAGAAAAATAAATAATAAACAATGATTGAGGCTCAAATATATAAAAATAATACCAAATATAGACTAGGAGCCGAGGTTTTTAATGCTATTATAAACAATCCTACATATAATGATAACAGACGTTTCGACCTACAGGTCATCTTCAGTGTATTGTGATATCTATAAAGATAATGCTAGCTATAAATAACAATAAATATATACATAAAGGGTCAATCGGTTAAAAATTAAATTCATTTGCAAACATTACTTATAGAAGCAGACTATTTAAACAAACTGTCCACCTCCGCTTTAGCAATTTCCAATCTGTGTACATACTTTTTAGGTTTCAATTTTTAATATTAGTTTTGTTCAGATTGGAAATTGTTGAAGCAGAGGTAGATAGTTTGTTTAAATATTCTACCTCGACAAGTAATATCTGCAAATGAATTTAATTTTTAACCAATTGACCGTTTATATTTGTATTATTTTCATATGTATTATATCACATTGAAAATGATTTGATATAGATCGAAACGTCTGTTATCATTATATGTAGGATTGTTCATAATATTAGTATCTGCTTATACTGTGATATTAGTATTAAAACCTAACCTAACCTTGCTCAGCTCATAGCACATAATATTTGGAAAATTATTTAGAAAAATAAATCACTTTAATTGATGAAAAAAAAAAAACTATAACTGCAAGCCTATTCTGTATTATAATTCTTAAATACAGTTTCGCCATCGTGATAACATCATTGTGCAGCTTTTTTACTATCTGCGTAACGTTATAACGATAATGAAACTGTCGATAAAAGTCACAGAATAGGCCAGCTGAATATTTAGAGCGTGAATAACAAATAACTTACCATCAACGTCCCATACGACCAACTTGTTATCGGAAAATACTGGAGAACCAGTCTCCGTGACCACGAGTTTAAAATTTATCGTTGTGTTTTCTTGGCGCGTAAAATCCACCCACCGACACCCTGTGTCAGGAACAGAGTGCTTTTTCCCCTCACTCGGGTGTGTTCGGGTGGAATCTGAACGATATACTCAGAGGTCACCTGACCAGAAGCAGGAGGCATCTGAACGGCGTTTGAGTGACTTAAAGTACCTAGAGGGAAATCTGAACGCACCCCTAGCCGGGGTAACTTCTCGCCGGGAGTTTTGAACGCTGAACGAGAGGATGTTTTCTCCGATATGTCAGGCTGGCATTCCTCTTGCGGGATAGGCGGTAGGCTGGCCGGGCCCTCCGTTCGACCCTCTCCAGGATATGCCCCGTGATCGATACGGCTCAGAGTCCTCTCGTTATTCTATAACATGTCAATCGCATTAATATTGCGCGAGAAATATTTAATTAATTTCGGCCACTCGATACTTATCTGCGCGAGGTCCCGGGCTCTCTCTCACTCTCGCTCTATCTCTCTCTCCATGCTGCTGTGGTATCCTGGCACATCCTGTCTCGCTTCCTCTTGCCCGACAAAATGGCTCCCGGCCGTCCTCTCGAACCGTCGTCGTCGCTCTTCCTAAGAATCTCACCGCACCGACAGGCCGATGCTGCGCGTAACTCCTATTCTCGCAAAAAAGGTCTTATAAAATACGGATCGCACCCTCCCCAATACGAGGGGCGCTCCAGACCGTTGCGTCCTACCCGGTCGGGCTTTCCGCTCTTGTGACGGCGCTCCAAAGGCATCACGTCACAATATATATATATATATATATATATATATATATATATATATATTATATATAGATATATAGATATATATATAGAGATATATATATAGATATTTTACACTCTAATATATATGTGTATATAGATATATATATAGAGATATATATATAGATATTTTTACACTCTAATATATATGTGTATATATATATATACAGGATGTCATGCAACATGATGTCCACAGTGAAACTTTGTATTCTTGGGATCATTCTGACATAAGTCAAAAAGTACACGTATGCCCTAAAGTCGATTACAGCGAAAAGACGAAATTGCATATAATAAGATAAATATTATTTATTGAAGATAATAATTTTATTTATTAAATGATAATATTATAGAATTACTTTATAAACTGTGCGATAATGTAGATCATAAAGATGTTTTTCTCGCACTTGTGCGGTTCGATAGACAAATATATAGATAGATATGTATATATATATATATATATATATATATATATATATATTTATGTATATATGTATGTATGTATGTGTGTATGTATGTGTACGTATGTGTATGTATGCATATATAGAAAATGTTTATAAATAAACTAATCTGTACATCCAGCCTTTCTTGAAGAAAACTCTACGTTTTGAAAGAGGCAAATGTTTGGCGTCATATTTCCGTCCCATTGTGTGGACAACACACAAACTCAAACTAACACACTAAAAAAACTAAATACATGTATTACAAATGTTACATCCGTGAATGGAAAATTATAACTAACGTGTATGTTACATGTTACATGCACGTTAATTACGTGTTATATAGCAGTTATAATGTTGTTTGCTGGGCAGTTCCTTATTGAAAATTACATACGTCTTTTGCAACTGTTTTCTTTACACCTATTGATTGGTCTCATTATTCCGTGCATACCATAAAAGTATAAATGTATAACATATTGAAATATAAATATATGTATAATATATGAAAATTGAATATTTTACAAGATATTGTCAATTTTATAAAAAATTGTTCACTTCAAACCTTTATAACTCAATAAGTACATCAAAAAATATTTTATTAGTGTTTTGGAAAATTCTGAAGATAAGCTACAAGAATATCTAATAAAAAATAGGGGGTTTGTTTAACAAAAGTTGATCTTGAAATGACCTCTAAATTTGACCCCTACGTCAAACTCGAGGTCACCATGAAATGTCTTATTTTCCCTAGAAAAAATTTTTTATATATAATAATATAAAATTATATAGAAATATATAAAATTATACATATAATCGCAAAATTATATATGAAATATGTCCATATATAATTAGATAAAAGAGCTTTTGATATACATATAATTATATAAATTTATATATATATATATATATATATATATATACATATAATTATATAAATTTATATATATATATATATATATATATATGTATATGTATATATGTATATATAATAAATAAGTATTCACATATATAAATATATATAATGTTTCATATATAACTTGACATGAGATTATACATGAACCTTATAATTTATATATAAATAAATTTAATTATATATAAAATAAATATATTTCACATATAATTATGTATAATTATATAATTATTTGGATATAATTATATATAAAAAATTTTTTCCCAGGTTGAACCCTGCAACTTTTATATTTTGTTTATAAGACCACTATTTTTTGGACATAATTGGCCGTTGCCGGACTTTTGAACCACCTTGTGTATATATATATATGGTAGATTGTATATTTCCTTTGAAAAATACATGAAAATATGCACATATCATCAAAATATATAAGCGCAATGTTGAAATTGTGTTCAACTATGTCATAAAGAGACACATTTATATATGTATGTATGTTTTACTGTCATTGACACCCCTTGTAGAAATTTGTCACTAGTAACGCCAATTAATCACTTATTTCGAGTACTTAAAATACTGATATACAGATCGAAATAAGTGATTAAGTACTCGAAATAAGAGATAAATTGGCGTTACTAGTGATATATTTCTATAAGGGACGCTTATTGTTAGATGCGTGTGAGAGATGATTCGACAGTAAAAATATATTATGTTGTCTGATTCTAATATGTTGAACACTATAAAATGGTTTTTTGACATATATGGATTACTGCCGATAATAGCGGAATTAAAATTGTTGACAATTATCGACAATTTTAGTTCCACTCAAATGACGGCGCTAACCCGTCGGAGTTCGGCCAACGCTCCTTAAACATAAATTAGAGTTTAATCATGATTTTAACTGGGCAACACCGACGATATTACATAACGAAAAACACACAAAAAAGAGAAAAATAGCTGAAATGTTTTTTATTAAAAAAACTAACAAAACTATCAACCTACAAAAAGACAGATAATTTGAACAATATTTATAACAATATACTAAAGGTTGTGTAGTCCTTGGCTCTTATATTTTCACATTATGACAAGAAGTTTTGTTCGCATAACATGTTCACGGTTTTAATTTTAAGGTAAAGTTTAACACGTTTTGTTCATATATTTTTACGCATTACTATGAATTTAATGTAATTATTCTTTGTAGTACACTTGATAAGGACCAAAACCCATGGTCGAAACGTTGCGGCGATTTTTAAATATATTTGCCAGTATTGGTCGTTTTAAAATTATTTATTCTTTTAATTTTATGTGTATATATGACACAAATACTTGGTTTGATTAACTAAATAATAAAATAATGTATACATTTAATTAACTCAAATTTAAAAGTTGTATTTATATTTTGGAAATTAGATTCTATTTTAGATTAAAAAAACAATAAACAAATAATTTTCATTAATTTAATCATTTTTGTTGAGGAAAAATCGTCTCCAAATGATCACAATAATCTAGCATTATGCAACTGTCGACTATGGAACATCCTGTGCGTGCGTGCGTACATGTGTGCCTGCATGCGTGCCTGCATGCGCGCATATACGTGATGTGTGTACGCGCGCGCGCGCGCATGTGTGTTTATATGTTTATATATACGTATGTATACTTTCACTTAATCTTATTGTTAGTATAAAAAGTAAAGTATTTTAAAATATATGATAGGTGGTGTGTGTATATGTGTGTGTGTACATATGTATAAAACAATATATATGTGTTAATATTAAAATATTATCTTGTTTGTAATAAAATCAAAATAAGATTGCAGAACATTACGTAAACATTATTTTTTATCCAGATATACTCAAACATGAATCAAAAATATTATATTT